TTTAAATGGGTTTTATTGGGTTTTATTAGTTTTAAGTAATAACTTCACAAAAATAATTCGGAATTTGTATCTATTCGGAAATTATTTTTGTTTTATAACACTTGAAATCTGTGATGCTAAAGGATGGAGTCAATTGTTGATTTGTTCCGAATTTTCATATATTAGAATAGTAATGAAATAAACTGCTTTAGAATGAATTGAGATAACGTCTTCTAATGTATGGGAGATGTATTTAACTTTTAGAATGTAGTTTTAAGGTAAAATTCAATTAAAACCCAATAAAACCCATTAAAACCCAAATAAAACCCACTTAACATGGTAAAACCCAGTGGGTTTTATTCATTTACAACCCATTAAAACCCAATAAAACCCAATAAAACCCAACCCATTAAAACCCAGGTCGGAATACCCTGATTTACGGCGTGCATGCAAATGACATGTCCACTGGAGATGGGGTGACATGACATGATACGGGTTACATAACACATCTCATATCTCATCTCCGGGGAAAAAGTGTATAATGGAAAATTAGCACTTTGTGCAGTGTTTATTATGCAACTCCCACGTCGTGCGTGGTGCTTTGTGTTATCCAACTTTTGACAACTTCTGGAAACCTGGAACATTTGCATTGTGTTCGGAAAAAGGGAAACCGTGCACGAAGGATGTGCACAATTTTTAGCGAGTTTCGACATCTTGGTGTCAATATGTGGTGTTTAACATGAGGAAAAATAGGATGCCTTGACCCGTGCCAATCTCTCCTGAATCGATGACATGCTTTTTACAGGGCCCTTGAGAAGAGGATGAGACGATGCTAATATTTACTCACGGTGCTTATTTTGTTTGCCATGCTGAGTGAGAAGAATGAGCGTGTGTTACATCATCATCAAAGAATCGCTTATTTTGTGTGTATTGCTACTCTGATAAGCGATTCATGCATGCGACAAGCGATATCAAGATGGTAATACAATGTTACCAATATTGGGAAAAAATCATGCATTATAGATAGCGATGACATTCGAAAAGATACATTTGGAAAAGCAACTTTTCGAAAACTGAGAAAAATTCAAAAAAATAAACCAAAACATTGGCAAGAAAAATATTTGGGTGGTATAAATTTCCAAATTTGACAAGAAATAACTTTCATTTTAAAACATACTTTCATAAAACAACAATGTCATTTTTCTGGCATAAATTGCATTACTTGTATTATACAAATACTTGAAAAAGTTTTATTTTCAGCCGACCAAGTTGGTTACCAGTTGGTAAAAAAACAGTTTTATTATTTGGTGGTAAAAGTAGAAAGTCATTGGTTTGGTTCAACGAATGTTTTCCAAAATTTCTAAGAGTGTTTTAAACTCTGTAAACATATTATGAAGCTCGAGAACCATTTTTTGAAATCCTCCTCTCAAATGGAAGTGTCAACATGAGGAGGATTCTATTTTACGCGTGTGTTACATAAGTTTTGAGCTTTTAGCAAGTGTCTGATTTGATTGAGTGATGTGTGTGACGAGATGATGAACTTCAAAAGTTAGTCAAGTGAAGCAGAGATTTTGCTGCCAAGTAATTTTTTTTATTTCTGCAAAAATAAACAGAACTCACAAAAAGTGCAATATTTACTGTTTGTTTTCTACAGGAGTTTCAAGCAGCAAGAGTTTTGTGAAAATTTGATACGATGGTGTTCTTTGTTGGTTTTAAAATCAGAGTGAAATTTGGTTCAGCGTTTCGTCGTTTCGTTTAAATAATATAACAAAAATTTAATACGCAGAGCTGAGAAACAATAAATAATTATAAGATCAGCGAGATCTTCACGCCGTACAAAAAATTTAGACTAGGCTAAAGTGCATAATTAATTCATATTTCTTGATCGTGGGTAGTAATTAAATTTATGTAAAAACACTTTGCGTAAATTTACTTTCAACTTTAGCGAAAATTTGATTATTTCAACAATTAGATTATTTTGATGTGGATAAGTATTCGAAAAAAAATCAGCGAACCCCGTCATCCCATTTAGTAATTTCGTTGTATATTTGATGAGAGAAAAATGGAGCAGATTTCTAACCAAGTTACGGATTTTGCCAGAAATAATGACATTTTGAATAGTTTCAAAATTGTGTTTTACAATCATGGCAAAATTTAAATAAACTGTGGAGGTGGATTTTCCATATGTTTCTTTGATTCCAGTTCAAAATTGGGCAATTGAAACACGCTGTATTCGAATTGAATTCATTCATATTTCTGTGTGCTGAATAAATTGCAAACTATTTCGCAAGCTGCATGGATACGTAGACTGAGGATTCAAAAACATGACGGATTCCAATTTTCGGGCGAGGAGACAACAACAATAAGACGAGAAGTGGACCGTGAATCAATTTACGTTTCAACAATTCCGCGAGAGATTCTGAATTCTGAGTCTGCCTCCCACGCGGATTTGCACTCTGAATAATTCCGTAAAAATATTTGTAACCGGGCCGAGGTTACGTGTGAACTCTGTCACGTATTCGATACTTGGTAACAAACTAATACCAAATTGGTAAAATAAATTCTAATCCGAAATTTGGAACTATCAACGAATTGGTAAAAAATATTTATTTTCCATTGCGTCGGTAATAAAATCGTATTATGCATAAACCAATTGGTGAAAGCATAAACCATCTAACTTCTAAATTGGTAACAAATCGTTACCACTTCCAAAATAAACTACTAAGCAAGTTCTAAGCCACTAAATAAAATTGTAGCATATTAGTGACATAATTGTTAAAAAGATTTCATTAATCCAAGGTCTGAGGACAAGTTACGGAGAAAGTTAATTAATTGTCTTTCGCAGTATGTCTTAATTTCCCAAATTATCCCTAACGATTACAGTTTTAAACATTTTTCCGACTTTCACCTGAAATTATACGGGGCCAATGAAAAGCGTGAGAAAACATGGTTTTTAAGGATAAAAGACACTCTCGTGTAAATCCAACCCTTTCACTCGATTTCATTTATTTTTAGACTCCGTAAAAAGCAAGTGATCCACTCGAATTCTGGTTCAGAAAGCCATCCAATTTTCAGACAAGACAACAACAAGTCGGAGAAAGTAGGATTGTGCATGAAGGTTGTGATCGATTCGAGGTAAGAATATGGGTCATCCTATTTGTCCCATGTTAATTTTGCCGTGCTAAAAATGACCAAAATACTTGGAATTTATTTCCGTGGCCTATGATCGAAGCTAGGGTCAAACTTTTCTGAAAAACGGATGACATGTTTTCCGCGTGTTCCCGAAGGAATCGTATTTTTCTTATTTGTTCCAAGTGGGTGGATGTTGATCTGTTTTTTTGGTTGGCCTTTGTGGTTGAGGGATCAGGTGAAAGATTTTATTGGACTTCTGCACCTCTGCGGCCACCCGTAATGATCTCTTTGATACCAAATCTATACCCCCGTGCGGTAAGGGTATCAAGTTACGAGAGGGTTACGTGCATGTTTGTGCACTCTGAATAATGTGGTAACAAAATATTACCGGTAAAAATGTAGTGAAATTTTATTTTGTTGGAAAATTTTTATAAATATGATTTTTTAAATCTGTGGTTTGTAATATTTTTAGATTCTAGGTGTATTTCATTAGATTTATTTTATCGTGAAAGTGGACCAGGTTGGTAGCGTATTTACTACCAAATTGGTAACATCAATATGAGTGATGGTTACCTGGAATTAAAATTTGTCGCAGTTCGACGCTGATTGCAAAATAAGTGATGAAATTATAACACAACTATAATTTAGATTCTTTGACCGTTAACGTTTTTTAAAGTAACTCGTCATAAATTTTACAAAGTTTGACTTATTACCAACCTTGGAATTTTTTCTTCATTTGATAAAAATACTTTACATTTTTTCTTTCGATACCAGTTCAGTTTTCACCAGATTTGTTACTCACTTTTAAATACGTTATTCGCAAATGTTATCCCCAAATTTCTAGGAGTGTACACATCCGCAAACTGAGACAGAAGAACGGATGGAATGAAATAACACAAAAATCCGACTTTCTTCGAGTATTTGTGATCCAAGTGGACAAATGAACACGTTGTGACATTTCCATCTCGTGATACACAGGAAATCTACTCCACCAGACGGTACGTCGAAGGAACAAATAAAAGAACAAACGGGACATGTTGTTCTTATCCCGAGAACCCACGACACGTTCGTCACGAATCAGAAAACACGGTGAAAGCACCAGAGTGACCGATTCGATTAAGAAAAGGTCACAAAAGGAGGTTTTTTCGTAAATATGTAGGAGTCTCATCGAGTAAGAGAAATAATAATTGGTCCTCCTATTTTATTTTCACCTTGTGACAAGCTACTTATCACATTACTTGCAGTGCAGATATGCCAAGACACGCTGACTTCTTCGATCTCTTGTGAAAAAATAAATAAAAAAACGATTTAGAAGTGAAAGTTTAAAAGAGAAAGTTATTTTGTCGAAATCTCTTTGAAAATCGGCTTTCGGAGTTATTTTTGGTGGGGAAAATTCCTCTGGGAGATGAGCTTATTGGGTGGGCTTACTGGGAGAAAGCTATCATTATGTTCCGTTACTCTCGATAAGCTGGATTTATTCCTAAAAATATACTTATCGACGGTTTCGCACAAGGAAGAGATGCACATTAAACGTAGGTACAGATTCTCTAAAATTTACAAACCAGGAAAAATGTTTTCCAAAATTTGAAGTGTAGTAAATAAGTCTGCCCTGGAAAAAAAAGCTAATCTCACATTTTAACTTCAGATGATAAATTCTAAAATTGGTGACAAAGCCATTTCCTACACTTGAAAATTTGTGTTACTAATTTTCTTAAATTTCTCATTTTTCAAATTGGTTCCAAAATACTTAATTCCAAGTTTTTTAATAGGACAAAGTGTCTGAAATTCGCAACGCATTTAGTTTGATACATGATGTGCAAAGTGCTAGTAGTTAAATATATTCTTAAGAATGTGTCTGCCCTAGAAACAAGTGGTAGCATTTTTTTTACCTTATTTCCTTATTCCCAGAGGACACCCGGGTATTAGCTCCAGTTAAGTCAGTAACCAACCGTTAATGGGTAAAGTTCACTTTTCCTCAAGAAAATGGCCAACTTTAGCTGAAAACAAAGGAGAAAAACAAGACCGGTTAGGATACTTTGTTTCACTGCCCATTGGTTTTATTTTATATGGATAACGGACTTTCTCCCCGAGGAAAAAAATATGTGCTACTGCTTTCTCTTCATTCTGGCGGCGTAGGAGGAATGTAGGTATCTTTTTTGGGGAATTCATATAGCGAACACTGGGCAGCCGTTGGACACACTCTTAGAAATTTTTACAATTTCCGGATTTGTAAAGATATCGTAATATTTGTACGTCGAAATTGTAATTCTGAAATATATTTCGTATAAATTTTAAATTTAGGTCTGTGGGTTCTCATATGTAAGTTGAGAATTTTTGTAACAAACAAATACATTTTTTATATCAATTTGATATTTAATTTGGTAACGGAATTTGCCTTCTCTATATAGTTATTTTATAACATGCAAATTGTCGTTTTTCTTATTCGTAGATAAGGAAGTATCTCCAACTGATAACAAAATCTAAGCTTTTGGCTCCATTATTTTACCGTACGTTTTGTAATCACGTTAATGTTTACTAGACTTCTAAGAGTGCTTTTCTGCGGCTTTCCGACTACGAAGTGTGTGCTTCATCACTTGGGATTAAAGTTTCCCTGTGGACAACTGGACGTGATTTCCTACCTGTGATGTAATGAGTCCACTTTCACTTGAAGGATGAGTCTCAACTTTCTCCCGGCTTGGGTCAGATTGCCTTTTTGGACCTTAGATAATGAGAATGGGTGAAAAAATCTGAACAAAACTTTCACTTTTTTGGAAAAGCTCTTTATAAAGTACGTGCCCACTGTGGGAAAATCTTAATTATTGTTGTGTAACCTTTGTAAGTTTTTTGGAGATTGTTTTTTAAAAGAAATTTTTTTGTTGTAAGAAAACTTTATTATCTAAGGGGATTTTTTAAGAAATTGTGGAAATTTTAGAAAATTTCAAAATTTTGGTATCTAATTTCGCATTGGAGCTTAGGATTAATTAGGTAAGAAATTGTTTATTAAAAAAACGCCCATTTGCTTATTAAATTCGAACAAAGATCTCATCCTTTTCCAAGGAAATGTGCCAAATGTTGCAAAATTTGCGCTAATATTCTATAATGCCGAGATTCGCGTTGCTAATATACATACGCGCACTTTTTACAACATAGCGCAAAACTAGCGAAATATAGGTGTAAGTGCCCCTCAAGAATAAAAGCATTATGTAAATTTCCTTTTCTTGAAGTAAAATGAGGCCCTAATTATCCCCGTAAGAAAGGAAACCACAAAGACGTCGTCTATTCTTCGTGGTCTGGTCGGTCGGTGGAGGAGAAGTGGTTCCATTAAATTTGACGTAATGGAACTCACTTTACATCAACAACAACACAACGGAATTTCCACAACACGTCCCGAAAGCCAATAAGGAAGCCATTGAATTGATGCCCGAGAGAAAGTTGGGCATTTCATTTCATTCATTCGATTCCTGCCCCAATTTATTTCTGAGCAGGAGAAGAAAAGGAAAACGAGACGAAGTTATCAGTTGCATGGTTACGTGTGTAGTACATAATTTTATTGTAGTGGATAACACTCTTAAAAATTTCGAACTATATTGCTACCGACTATTTTGGTAACATTTTACCAAAATACCATAAAATACGAAGGGAAGATGTAATGGTAGGATTTTTTTTACCGACAGGGATATATTTTACCAAAGTACCATAAAGTACCAACAAGGGAAGATACAGTGGTACGATTTTTTTACCGGTGAGGATGAGGATATGTATATTTTACCAACTTGGGATATTTCTTTATTACCAGTTTGGTCATACCTATTTTTGTTTGGAATTGGTATTGTTTATAATTTGGTCACGTCTTGATACCAATTTGACACATGTTTTAACATTTTATGTATTCCGAGATTTTTAAGATATCTGAAACTCTTCGAGGTGGACAAACATAATGAAGGCAATGAAAGTGAATAAATTCCGTCATTTGATCTGAATTGATGTGATTCATTATCAAAGAAAAGCCAGATTATTAGTGGACCATGTGTGATAATGAAAGCAGCAACAAATTTCCTGTGGAGTGAAAGTCGAGACAGTATTTTTCAATTGTCAAATGAAATCTTCAAAAAATTCTCACATAGTTATTCATCGTAACATTGTTAAATCACGGAAATTTGTTACAAACTTTAACAAGTGAAGGTTTTTTGAGAAAAGTGTGTAATGTGTTCAACGTTAGCAAGTTTAGGATCTAACGAAGTTTACCGAGCGAAATTTGCATTGTTAAATTATTAAAACTAGAAAATTGCAAATTGACAGAATGTGCAGATTTTCATTCGATTCCCATGAACCTGCTCAAATAGTTATAACTTACATGAAATTTAATTTTACAGCGCCGTTTAAATTGCACACTTTCTGATTTTTTAAGGCAAAGTACGGCAAAACCTCTATTTATAGCCAGGGCTAAAATTCAAAACTGAGGGTCACGGACCCGGCTATAATTAGAGACCCGGCTAAATTTTGTTCGGCACAAAATTTTAAATGTTACAAGATCATGCTGACTCAATTTGAGTTTTCTAATTTAGGAAGATATGCCATCAGTAACCCATTCACTTTAAATCTGCATCTTTAAACGAGGTTTAGCAGTTTTTTTTTTAATTTTCTGTCATGTTTATATCCATTGATAACTTGAAATTAGTAGATAAAATTATAGGTCAACTTATTCGTTGATTAGCATAATGTGCAACATTTTTCTTGAATGGGCTATGAACGGGGACACAGCGGACAAGACAGGGCATAATTAGAGACCCGGCTATAATTAGAGACCCGGCTAAAATTTTGAAATCTTGGTCTCCTGACCCGGCTATAATTAGAATAGGGCTATAAATAGAGGTTTTACGGTAAATGAAATATCAGCGTTAATTTTTTTATTTGTTTTCTTAGAAATTCGTGTCATTTAGCTTGAAAAAACTTGTCAGCATTGAACACTGGCATATTTCCGGCACGAGTTCATTTTATACCTTTGAATTATTGAAAAACTTGAGCCAGGAACGTTTTTTGGGGTAAATGACAGGTTTTTTGGTTAAAAACCGACTCCTATTCCTCCAGAAGTATGTTAGTCTAGAGAATTTTACAACATGCAATTTGATCCCATTGATCCAACCGCTTTATTTAATTACACTTTGGTATTTAATTATTTTCGAGTATTTCCCCCTTTAATGAGACCAAGGGTAGAGTGCAATCCATCAAGAACTGACCGAGAAACGACAACACCTTGACAGCCCATTTAATTTCGGCTGACCGCAAACTTCCAACTTTCTCGGAAACAATGGATCTTATTCGGTGTAACTTCTCACGCGTTAGACAAGCTTGACGGCTCGGTGAAAGTGGGTAGTATTCTGAATGAACACTCTGATGAAAGGAAAACTACTCGCGCAAATTTTTCTTCTAAAATGCGGCGAATACTTTATTTTGTAGGTATAAAGCACATTTTTTCCCTAAAATCCGTTTGAATCACGAGAAAAAATTATTTTGTGGGGTATGCATTTTTTTCAAAGGAGTTATAAAAAATAATATAAAAAATGTATAAATTTAAAACCCCTTAAAAATCGAGTTGCATAAGAGGTGTAAATTTTCCTTGTTTTTTTTATTGATTAAATTTGCTCTACCAAATTTGAAGTTGTGTTTCAGCCAAAAAATTGCAATTTGCCCAACCTGAGAAACTTTGGTTCGAAAACCCAGTGGACGTCTAGGGGTAACTAATTGCTCTGCAATCTTAATTAATAATTATTAATAAATAATTAGTAATGAATATAATCTAATTTTTCTGTACCGGATTCATCGGATCTACATTATTTGAATTTAAATTCCTCTCTCTGCAATATTTCTATATCAGACGTTTCGACGTTACAATTTGTCAAAAAAATAGCAATTTTATGACGAGTTTGTCTATACACAGTTGACCGTAGTACATACCTAATTTTTTTTAATCTACAATTTCACCATGTTTCCGGTTTCAAACCTATTTAATTCCAATTTTATGTGTTACACTTTTGTGCGTTTCTATATGTTCCAGCTTTAACATAATTCTAACTAAAAATTTCCCTCTCACATTTGATTCTGAGTGTATCTAAAAGTACGGATACTTTCCACAGTTTAAGCAGCCCACAAAATTCCTGGTATGCAGGGAAAGTATGGATGAGCACATGAAAAGAGATTGATACAGTTCCCCGTGACCATTAGTGGACTAGAAATGCTCCCACTAAACCGAACCCAGCTCCTTCAAGACATTTCTTTCTTTTTCTTCTCCGGAATTTCTACAAGGTTGCAACAATTCGCGGCTGCAGAACAAGAAAAATAAGATAACTTGAGCAAGTTCTACTTCTTTGTGTCTGGTAAAAATGTTGGGGAATGTAGTTTCCGGGGAAAAGTAGGCTTTCGAATTGTATCGATTATTATCTGGAGAAGTATGTGTATCATCATTCTGGTGAGAAAGTTGGCATCATTTCTTTCCTGTAACGGGCTTTATTAAGATCTTTATTCCTCTACTCGGATTAGACACAAGAGGGGAAAACGGACGCATTTCTGTAATGGATATGAGCTGTACTCGCATCTGCAATGATTTGGGGGAGAAAGGCGTGTCAATTACAGGAAAGGGGAATCACCTTGATATTTGCAATGTAGGAAAATCCCTGAATTTATGAATGGTTGGATAAGTTCGAAAAGAAATTAAGAAGGAAATTTAGGTACGAATCTATCGAACGGTTACACAACTCGAAAGGGCGTCTCATCATTTTGTTTACACAAATTAAAAAAAAATCTGCTTGTTTTGCAACGAAAGTTTCCAGAAATTAGTGTAGAAAAAATTTTTAAATTAGTATTTATTGTGATGAGTTAGGCGACGTTTTCCAATTTTGCAAATAATGCGATTTCATCCTACTTCTAAGGTCCCGATTCATTTACTAGGTCGTCACGGGGAGCATTGCAAATTGTTGAAATATATTTGCAAAAACTACAC